GAAATTTTTGTCTAGATCAAAATTTAGTCTATAGTGCAAATGGTCCATTAACCAGGAGTATTTTAACTGAAGTGTTTTTGGAGTGCACTAAAAGTTTATACCTTGTAGTGTTTCATCCTCAAGAGGAATTTTAAAACCAAGATGGGACACCACTCCAGCTTTACTAGGCAACCTAACAGGCTTGCAGTTTTCTTTATTCCAACAATTTCCCACAAAACACACGCCATTCAGCATCATTGCTATCTCGCAGCGCTTCTCTCTGCAACACAGCACGGTGCAGTTCTCGATGCTATCAATTGCAGATATCTCAGTGAAATTTCCCGCTTTGAGGCCGCCGTGAATAGCGTGGTTCTTAAGAATTCGCTTTCCAGAGCAGAGGGTATTCCTCATGTCGTTGGCGGTCTTGTCGTCAATTCCTAAAAAAAATGTCATTTTGATTAGTGAAGACAAATCATGCAGAATAAGCAAGTAATAAATATAATAATAATAATAATTTATTATTTATTATTTATATTGCGCAAATATCCGGCGTATGTATATGATCAAATGCGCACTGGAACCTAAATAAATTAAATTACAATGTTAAATATATATGTGATTAAAATGTTAGATAGAAAGTTTTGAAACACTAATGAAAAGCTAATCTTAAATAATGTGTCTTCAACAAACATTTAAATTTTGAATAACTTCTTTCGTTTCGCACATCATACGGCAGTTTATTCCAGATTTTAGGTGCCAAAAAGGCACGATCACCTAATGTAATTTTTGCTCTATAAACTCTTGGCGGTTGTAAGCACAATCCATTGTTATTCGATCTAAGATTATATTCTCTGAATTCCTTAAGATTAACAAGCTCTCTTAGATAAGAAGGAGCAAATCCATGAATTGTAAATGTTGGAACAATAATTCCGTTCAGACCTCCCTATTTACCCACCGTCATAATCAAGCCGTGACCTTGGCTTCTGGAGATACGCCATCACTGACGTCACGCCTTTACGTCCCAAAGGAATTGTGTCACAAAACTTCCTAGGAGGGCACTGGACTACGTAGCACCTTTCGCCCAATAGGAATGCAGTATTACCGCCGATATTATTACAACTCATCGCAATGCATTCTTCCATGCTATCTACTTTGCCAAGCAGTTTGGCATTTTCACCGTCCAAACCGTGACGTAACGTTATGTTCGGCGTTGCCAAGGTTACGGTACAACTGGTACGGTCGCTGACGTATGTGAAGTGTGTTGTAGGCAGGGGGTTGGGTTTGGTATGAACATGTTGCGTGTAGGTGGGCTCTGGTATGTGGGTTGAAGCAATTTTGGCTAAATTGAATAGTAAACGGAAGAAAGTTAAATAAATTGTGAAATAGTTCTGCTCATAATAGGATGTAAACATTCCGTTGGCAGTTGGTAGAAAAAATAAAGCTAACTATGTCGACTACAGGACAACGGTATAAGCTCTAAATAAATGTTAACGAATACGTGAAAATGGCTGAAGCCAATATCCCTTACTATTCAGTTGCCATGGCTTTCTTTCACTAATGAAGATATTTAACACATTGTGTAATTCATGAATGATACATAACATAATTTGCTGGAGGTACGCTGTCTTCGAGAGCCCTCTAGTACAAATTAAATTTGGCGATGAACATATACCAAGACATGCGTTAAAATGATTAAGATCCTGATTATATAGCTCAGTAGCAAAATACAAAATTTAGGCCAAACTTTTTTCCATTATTTTGTGACCCAGTTTCTCAGCGGAATTGAAACTACGAACCTACCCCTCCTCTCTCCTCCTTTCAAATAAAATCTATTCCACACCTTTCTTAACATTTTTATTAATCTCTCTCCGTCGAATGTAAGAAATCTTGGGACTGAATCCAGTCGGCCTGGCCCGTACCGTCTGACACATCTCCTCATTCACGCACTCCACTGCGACGCAGGTCTCCCCTATCATAAACGCGAGATCGCACGTTGGCTTCGCACAACAGAGGGCCGTGCACATGTGCATAGATTCGACCTCGCCCAGGTTCGAGAATTTTCCAGCATTGGCACCGCCTCGCAACGTCACGTTTGTTGAAATTGGGCTGTGAGTGCATTGTAGTTCGTCCTTGTGTGATTTCATATGGAAGGCCAAAGACAAAGCATCTGTTAAACAAATAAAATGGACTATGAATTGCTGTTTATTAATTAACATGAAAGTGCCAGTCTATGGGCTGGTGAAAAAGCTAAAACCTACTGTAAACTAACGTTATATAAGCCTAATAGCTCTATCTCAGTTCTCAACAGTTTTCCGTAGAGGCTTAGTAAGGATCAGTAAGCTAGGGACTTCATTTATTGTTCCAGTGTTACTACAATACTGCAAATATAGTCAATAAAATAAGCGGTTAGGAGACTTGATGCAGATCTATGTTTTCGTCTTGGTTTATGCTAGAAGTGGTCGGTTCATTGTAGTTTCGCTAAAGAAATCAATAACTATGATTTCTGTGTGTGTTGGCGCTATGTTCTCAGGTGAATATGATGTTTATGGTGTTACTCTGAGTGTGCATCCGCACCGGGCAAGCTGAAAAGTTTGCCTGACCACGGTGGGAACCAAACCCGCGACCTTTGGGGTACTAGTATTCTATACTATGCTATCTATTATTGACTATGCTGAAATAGATCACAACAGGAAACCTATACTAAAGCACAATATTAGATGTTCATACTGGGAGTAGCTCCCACAATGTCAAGCTGACAAGCTGCTTGACTACAACTATCCAACCATTCGCGCGCAAAAGTCTCACATCTTGTAGCAAGTCTGCCAACAAGCCGTCAACCAAGTTGTCTTCGCACTGCTTGTCCCAAGTTCAGATCAGAATCAGATATTTCACAGCACACTCCCTATATCAGGGCTTTTCAGTGACTGGTTACATTATGAATAGATAGATAGAACTGGACTGACGTGAAGCAGACCTAGGTAGACTTTGAGCTTACAGATGGCGCTTGAGCAGCTGCCGCTATTAGTCCATACCTCATTAATGATCTGCCTCCAGACCTATGTGCCTAACCCACCCTGTCAACTTTCCCTGTGGGAGGAAACACGGAGTGCCCGGAGAAAACCCACGACTTTCGGCAGAGCGTTGACTTTTACTCTTTTCACATGAGGACTGGTTCGAGTCACATTGAGAAGTTCTCACTGAGACTCGAACCTGCGACCTTAGAGGTGAAAGGCAAGTGCGCTAACCACTTGGCCACCGAAGCCCCTCAAGTTGTCAACAAGTTTAGAACAACTTGTTAACAGTTGTAACAAGCTTGTTGATATTACTATCAGACTTGTTGCAAGGTTGTTCCAACAAGTCCGATACAGTCTTGATATAACAATATTGCTACAACCTTGTGTTGTCAACCTTGTAGCAGCATTCTTGTTATAGCATGACTGTATCCATATCAGACTTGTTAGAACAACCTTGTAACAAGTCTGATAATGCCATCAAGCTTGCTACAAGTTGTTAACAGCTTGCTCCAAACTTGTTACAACAACTGGGAACAAGCAGTGCGAACACAACTTGTTGACGGCTTGTGAACAAATTTGTAACAACTTGTTTGCAGATCTATAACAACTTGTGCGTTTTTACGTGCGTAGCGCGCAAACAATTCCGACCACTCACCATCAATAGGCTTCCTCGTGAGTTTCACAAGTTTTGAAACAAACTTATTCTTGCCTCTTGCCTTAGTTGGTTCACATTTCTTGGGCTCCCTGCTGCAGCTTATTCTGTAGCAGTGATTGGCTAACATGAATGCCATGTCGCAATCACGTGATCCGCAGCAGCTTCGCACGCATTCCTTAACGCCCCTGACTGTCCCAACATGTTCAACATAGTCCGTAGAAAACCCTCCTCGTGGCATCACGCCTCGTTGGATGGAGGTGGAGTAGGAACACCTCAGTCGCGAGCGTGAATTATGGTTTATGTTTGACGTTGGATAAGCTATAACGAGAATGAAATAACTGTTAAGATTCATAAATAACAAACCGCCTTCACTGTTAAAAATATCCCTTTTTACCGAATAATGTACTGTTATGTTTTACAGTAAGTATATTGTAATCGTATATTACAGTACAATAGACTGTTTTTAAAAAGAAATCTGTTATTTCACATGTGCTTGAAAGTAATTTTTTACAGTAAACATTATTCTGTAATTGTAAATTACAGTATAGAATTGACTGTAGTTAAAAAGAAATCTGCTATTTGACATGTTCCGGCCTTTTTATGATATAAATACAGACTTCGGATAAAAAATTACAGTCATCCATTCTCTGGCGTCGCAGTACTTCAGTTTTACCAAGGTTTTACGGTAAAACGACGGCGTTTTTTAACAGTGTTCCTTTTCTGGTTAAATTAATCTAGAAATAACACAGACTACTTGGATTAACTTAATAAACCTGGATAAATTTTATGGTTATTTTAACTCAGTTCCTATAGTCTAGCTATATAATGTAGCCATGAATCTGGGTATCTGACCAGGACGTCCAAGGTTTAAAAAGGCGCCCTGGCCAAACGAGAATGATGCCTGTATTCTGAAACGGCTCACTTGCACGCAAAGAGTGGAGGTTCGGCAATCTGGTCTTCTTTTTAGTGTCCGTGCTGTTTTTGAATAGCTGCAGACCAGGCCAGTGGAGGGCGAGTAGTCACAGAATAAGTTACAGAACCAACCCTAACAGTTCTTGCAGCTATTCCAAAACAGCACTGACACTCAAGAGAAGCTCAGATTGAACTTCCACTCTTTGAGTGTGAGAGTGCTTTTCGAATACAGCGGGCGTGAGAGTTGATGACGGTGCGGAGAAGCGAGAGTTTGCATGACAACTCATCCCAGTTTGCATTACAACTCATCCCTCTCACAAGGCGTGGTCCCTTCCCAGCTAAAGCTATCTATTGTCAGGCCCATTCCTAAAGTACTTCCTCCCACATCTATTGAGACCGATTTGCGACCGATCTCCTTGACCTCGCAAATTTCCAAAATCATGGAAAGATTCACAATTAACTCGTTGATGCCTCAAGTAATTGACCAACTTGACCCTAAGCAATTCGCCCTTCCAAACAAATCAACTACCCATGCCCTGGTGTACCTTCTCCATCAAATTCTTGCTGCCTTAGACAGTGGTCATAATTTCATCAGATTGTTTTTCGCCGATTTCAGGAAGGGCTTTGATTTAGTGGACCATAGCGTTATTATAAACGAACTTGAAAATCTTAATGTCCACCCTGTCCTCACTCGCTGGATTAAAGCGTTCTTGACCAACCGTCAACAATGTGTCAAAGTGGATTGCCATAAATCCTCATGGAAAACCACCAACGGAGGTTTACCCCAGGGAACATGTCTGGGCCCTCTTCTATTTGCTATCTTGGTTAACCCATTATTAAAGGACTGGAATGGTCGCCTAAAATTTGTCGATGATACAACAGCAATGGAAGTAGTCCCAAGGTGCTCTCCTAGTCTATTGCCTTTAGTTGTTCAAGAAATCTCAAACTTCTCATCCGCTCGTGGAATGGAGCTTAATCCCAAAAAGTGCAAAGAAATGATCATAAATTTCCTTCAATACCGAATTCCATGTAATCAATCAATGTTCATTAATAGTCAATGCGTTGAAAGAGTACACAGCTTTAAGATCTTGGGTGTCTATCTATCAGACGATCTTACCTGGAATGCCCATGTTGACCATATCTTGAAGAAAGCTAACTCCCGACTCTTTGCCCTCCGTTTATTGAAGAAAGCAGGCCTGGGTCACACTGATCTTATAACCATCTACTGCTCAGTTATTCGCTCCGTACTCGAATACGCATCTCCAGTATGGGCAGCTCTTCCCGACTACCTATCCTCTCATCTTGAATCGGTCCAAAAGAGAGCACTTAAGATTATATTCCCTGACATTTCTTATTATGAAGCATTGCAGTCCTCAAAAATCAAAACTTTGGAATGTCGAAGAGATGAGTTATGTAGGAGATTTATCAACTCAACCCGGAAGATAGCCTGTAATAACAATCCAGTCCATAACATAATTAGACCCTCCCGATCACTTGGCGAACATGATTACTTTTTACGTAGACCAAATAATAGTGCAACAGTGAGAACCTTCACTGAACGTTTCGATAACTTTATCACTATTAAATATATGTAATTGTCCAAGTTTAGTCCTTTATATATTGTAATTATGTAAATATGAATTTATACTGCATGCTTATATTATATTTATATATGTTAAAATGTTAATATGCAAATTAGTTCATAACATAGAAACAATTGTATAATTCAGTTTTTACTGCAAAACAATTGATCAATAAACAGATATTATTATATTCGACGTCATAAACACGATCAACTTTGGTGTTTATGACGTCGACGTCATAAACACGATCAACTTTGGTGCTTATGAAGTCGACGTTATAAACACGATCAACTTAGGTGTTTAAGACGTCGATATCCGACGTCATAAACACGATCAACTTAGGTGTGTATGACGTCGATATTCGACGTCATAAACACGATCAACTTTGGTGTTTATGACGTCGACGTTATAAATACGATCAACTTAGCTGTTTAAGACGTCGATATTCGACGTCATAGACACGATCAACTTTGGTGTTATGACGTCGATATTCGACGTCATAAACACGATCAACTTTGGTGTTGATGACGTCGACGTTATAAACAAGATCAACTTCGGTGTTTATGACGTCCATATTCGACATCATCAACACGATCAACTTAGGTGTTTATGACGTTGATATTCGATGTCATAAACACGATGATTTTTGGTGTTTATGACGTCGATATTCGACGTCATAAAACGGATCAATTTAGGTGTTTATGACGTCGATATTCGACGTCATAAACACGATCAATTTTGGTGTTTATGACGTCGATATTCGACGTCATAAACACGATCAATTTAGGTGTTTATGACGTCGATATTCGACGTCATAAACACGATCAACTTTGGTGGTTATGACGTCGACGTCATAAACACGATCAACTTTGGCGCTTATGACGTCGACGTTATAAACACGATCAACTTAGGTGTTTAAGACGTCGATATTCGACGTCATAAACACGATCAACTTAGGTGTGTATGACGTCGATATTCGACGTCATAAACCCGATCAACTTTGGTGTTTATGACGTCGAGGTTATAAATACGATCAACTTAGGTGTTTAAGACGTCGATATTCGACGTCATAAACACGATCAACTTTGGTGCTTATGACGTCGACGTTATAGTGTTTAATGCTTATGACGTCGACGTTATAGTGTATTAGGTGTTTAAGACGTCGATATCCGACGTCATAAACACGATCAAATTAGGTGTGTATGACGTCGATATTCGCCGTCATAAACCGGATCAACTTTGGTGTTTATGACGTCGACGTTATAAAGACGATCAGCGTTGGTGTTTATGATATCGATATTCGACGTCATAAACGCGATCAACTTTTGTGTTTATGACGTCGATATTCGACGTCAGAAACCGGACCAACTTTGGTGTTTATGACGTCGACGTTATAAACACGATCAGCTTTGGTGTTTATGACATCGATATTCGACGTCATAAACACGATCAACTTAGGTCTTTATGACGTCGATATTCGACGTCAACACGATCAACTTAGGTGTTTACGACGTCGATATTCGACGTCATAAACCTGATCAACTTTGGTGTTTATGACGTCGACTTTATAAACACGATCAACTTTGGTGTTTATGACGTCGACGTCATAAACACGATCAACTTTGATGTTTATGACGTCGATATTCGACGTCATATACACGATCAACTTTGGTGTTTATCACGTCGATATTCGACGTAATAAACACGATCAACTTTGGTGTATATGACGTCGATATTCGACTTCATAAACACGATCACCTTTGGTGTTTATGACGTCGATATTCGACGTAATAAACATGATCAACTTTGGTGTTTATGACGTCGATATTCGACGTCATAAACGCGACCAACTTTGGTGTTTATGACGTCGATATTCGACGTAATAAACACCATCAACTTTGGTGTTAATGACGGCGATATGCGACGTCATAAACACGATCAACTTAGGTGTTTATGACGGATATACGACGTCATAAACACGATCAACTTAGGTGTTTATCACGTCGATACATAAACACAATCAACTTTGGTGTTTATAACGTCGATATTCGACGTAATAAACACGATCAACTTTGGTGTTTATGACGTCGATATTCGACGTCATAAACACGATCAACTTTGGTGTTTATGACGTCGATATTCGACGTAATACACCCGATCAACTTTGGTGTTGATGATGTCGTACTCGACGTCATAAACACGATCAACTTTGGTGTTTATGACGTCGATATTCGACGTAATAAACACGACCAACTTTGGTGTATATGACGTCGATATTCGACTTAATAAACACGATCACCTTTGGTGTTTATGACGTCGATATTCGACGTAATAAACACGACCAACTTTGGTGTTTATGACGTCGATATTCGACGTCATAAACACGATCAACTTTGGTATTTATGACGTCGATATTCGACGTCATAAACACGATCAACTTTGGTGTTTATGACGTCGCTATTCGACGTAACAAACACGATCAACTTTGGTGTTTATGACGTTGATATTCGACGTCATAAACACGATTAACTTAGGTATTTATGACGGCGATGTACGACGTCACAAACACGATCAACTTAGGTGTTTATCACGTCGATACATAAACACGATCAACTTTGGTTTTTATAACGTCGATATTCGACTTCATAAAGGCGATCAACTTCGTTGTTTATGACGTCGATATTCGACGTCATAAACACGATCAACTTTGGTGCTTATGACGTCGATATTCGCCGTCATAAACACGATCAACTTTGGTGTTTATGACGTCGATATTCGACGTCATAAACACGATCAACTTAGGTGTTTATGACGGCGATATACGACGTCATAAACGCGATCAACTTTTGTGTTTATAACGCCGATATTCGACTTAATAAACGCGATCAACTTTGGTGTTGATGAAGTCGATATTCGACGTCATAAACACGATCAACTTTGGTGTTTATGACGTCGATATTGGACGTAATAAACACGACCAACTTTGGTGTATATGACGTGGATATTCGACTTCATAAAAACGATCACCTTTGGTGTTTATGACGTCGATATTCGACGTAATAAACACGATCAACTTTGGTGTTTATGACGTCGATATTCGACGTCATAAACACGATCAACTTTGTGTTTATGACGTCGATATTCGACGTCATAAACACGATCAACTTTGGTGTTTATGACGTCGATATTCGACGTCATAAACACGATCAACTTTGGTGTTTATGACGTCGATATTCGACGTCATAAACACGATCAACTTAGGTGTTTATGACGTCGATATACGACGTCATAAACGCGATCAACTTTGGTGTTTATAACGTCGATATTCGACTTCATAAACGCGATCAACTTTGGTGTTTATGACGTCGATATTCGACGTCATAAACAGGATCAACTTTGGTGTTTATGACGTCGATATTCGACGTCATAAACACGATCAGGTTTGGTGTTTATGACGTCGATATTCGACGTCATAAACACGATCAACTTTGGTGTTTATGACGTTGATATTCGACGTCATAAACACGATCAACTTTGGTGTTTATGGCGTCGATATTCGACGTCATAAACACGATCAACTTTGGTGTTTATGACGTCGATATTCGACGTCATAAACACGTTCAACTTTGGTGTTTATGACGTCGATATTCGACGTCATAAACACGAACAACTTTGGTGTTTATGACGTCGATATTCGACGTCATAAACACGATCAACTTTGGTGTTTATGACGTCGATATTCGACGTCATAAACACGAACAACTTTGGTGTTTATGACGTCGATATTCGACGTCATAAACACGAACAACTTTGGTGTTTATGACGTCGATATTCGACGTCGTAAACACCATCAACTTTGGTGTTTATGACGTCGATATTCGACGTCAAAAACACGAACAACTTTGGTGTTGATGACGTCGATATTCGACGTCATAAACACGAACAACTTTGGTGTTTATGACGTCGATATTCGACGTCATAAACACGAACAACTTTGGTTTTTATGACGTCGATATTCGACGTCATCAACACGAACAACTTTGGTGTTTATGACGTCGATATTCGACGTCATAAACACGAACAACTTTGGTGTTCATGACGTCGATATTCGACGTCATAAACACGAACAACTTTGGTGTTTATGACGTCGATATTCGACGTCATAAACACGAACAACTTTGGTGTTTATGACGTCGATATTCGACGTCGTAAACACCATCAACTTTGGTGTTTATGACGTCGATATTCGACGTCAAAAACACGAACAACTTTGGTGTTTATGTATTCGACGTCATAAACACGATCAACTTTGGTGTTTATGACTTCGATATTCGACGTCATAAACACGAACAACTTTGGTGTTTATGACGTCGATATTCGACGTCATAAACACGAACAAGTTTGCTGTTTATGACGTCGATATTCGACGTCATCAACACGATCAACTTTGGTGTTTATGACGTCATAAACACGAACAAGTTTGGTGTTTATGACGTCGATATTCGACGTCATAAACACGAACAAGTTTGGTGTTTATGACGTCGATATTCGACGTAATAAACACGAACAAGTTTTGTGTTTATGACGTCGATATTCGACGTCATAAACAGGATCAACTTTGGTGTTTATGACGTCCATATTCGACATCATAAACACGAACAAGTTTGGTGTTTATGACGTCGATATTCGATGTCATAAACACGATCAACTTTGGTGTTTATGACGTCGATATTCGACGTCATAAAC